AGAGAAAAGAGGAGCAGAAGAGACGGAGACGAGTCGCAGAAGAGAGATGAGGGGCAGAAGAGACGAAGATGAGTTGCAGAAAAAAGAAGAAGGGCAGAAGAGACGGAGACAAGTCGCAGAAGAGGGATGAGTGGCAGAAGAGACGGAGACGAGTCACAGAAGAGAGAAGATGGGCAAAAGAGACGGAGACGAGTCGCAAAAGAAAGAAGAGGTTCAGAAGACGGAGACGAGTCGCAGAAAGAGAAGAGAGCAGAAGAGACGAAGACGAGTTGCAGAAGAGAAAAGAGAGGCAGAAGAGACGGAGACGAGTTGCAGAAGAGAGATGAGTGTCAGAAGAAGGAGACAAGTTGGAGACGAGAGAAGAGAGGTAGAAGAGACGGAGACGAGTCGCAGAAGAGAGAAGAGAGGAAGAAGAGACGGACACGAGTTGCAGAAGAGAAAAGAGGGGCAGATAAGACGGAGACGAGTCGCAAAAGAGAAATGAGAGGCAGAAGACGCAGATCAGTCGCAGAAGAGAGAAGAGAGGCAGAAGAGACGAAGACGAGTCGCAGAAGAGAAAAGAAGGGCAGAAGAGACGGAGAATTCGCAGAAAACAGAAGAAGGGGAGAAGAGACGGAGACAAGTCGCAGAAGAGAGATGAGGGGCAGAAGAGACGGAGACGAGTCGCAGAAAGAGAAGAGAGTCAGAAGAGACGGAGACGAGTTGCATCAGAGAGAAGAGAGGCAGAAGAGACGAAGACGAGTTGCAGAAGGGAAAAGAGACGAATTCATGTCTGCAAAGACAAAAGATAGCCGTCTGATCCGCGTAGAGCAAGTTGAAACATCAAGAGACCGGGACGCTTTGGTTTTTCTCTGATGAAGAAATCTTCGATCACGTCCATACACGCAAAGTTTCCGGTAACTGTAATGGTTTGTGTAGTCGTGAGGATTTCTTTTCTCAAAGCTTAAGGTTCAATGCTGCTAACTATAAGCAGGTGTCGGAGAGAGTCGTGATGCCTTCGATAGACAGCAGGGACAAATTAATTCTGTACACCTATCAACGAGACACCTATCATAAGTCCAAGACGACCCAAGAATGCATGAGTTACAATTTCGTCACTCAAAACATATCATCTCCCAGCTCTCCAGATCTAAATCCGTTGAACTATGGGGCGTAGTCACGAGGGAAATCAATCAACGACCCCACTTATTTTATTTTTTCGGTCGATCTATCTAGAACATTCATGTGTCTATCACGCCAACCATCACGGTCCTGCATCAAGGTCAAAAGGTCATTTGGGAAGCATTATGTGACATAACATAGCTGGTCAACGTAGTCGGTTGCAATCCGTCTTGCTTCGTGACTAGATATCCAGAGCAGTAGATCCCTCGCCAGTTCTTGATTTGCTCACCAGCAGTGTCCTTCGAAGCCCATTACGCGTTCGCGTACGACTGTAGAAATATACGGGATAGGTCCATATTGTGATTTAAATGGGTGTTGTCTCCAGGAGTTGCATAGCTCTCAGTATCCGACTAGATGTTCCAGTAGTGTTTTAGTTAATGCCCAGGCATTAGCACCATACATTAACACCGCCTCTACAGTGAATAGAAATAATTTCCGTTAGAAGATGTCTGGTATATCCGATTTTTATTTCTTTCATTTTCTTTTGAAACCAAGTAGCGTTTTTGATATCTTTTGTCTTTCTACGCGATCAAACGTAATAGCCCATTATTTAAGAGGTATTAGAAGGAGACGTTAAACACTTATATCTTTCTTTCTTTGTTTTTCTTTTATATTGAAATAAAGCGTCGCTGCCGGCACTTGAGTTTGAACATAGGTCGCCAGTGAGCAAACACAGGTGATCCCATTATTGAATTAAGTGGATCACGAGACCATGGGAGAAACGCATAAAAGTGTGACATCTAAACAATCGCTATTCTATTACTATTCGGATCATCATTTCTACTCTATTCTCTGTTGCTATAAGGGCCGCTATTTTCTACTCTATTCACTATACTATTTCTCTATTCGGATCATTAAACAGATTACTATTAGAGCGAGTATTATCAAGCAAGTACTATTAGTGCGATTGGTATTCGAAGGCGTCTGACACCAGCATTGTTCAACGGCGTTACTATAGTTGTATCCGCGATTACAAAGTCTCTACTACAACGAGCATTACGAAAGTGACAACGAGTATTCGTTGACATTACGAAAGTGGCAACGAGTGTTCGTTGACATCATAAAAGTGGCGACGAGGATACCTTGAACTTACACGAGGATTCTTGCAAATTACACGAGGATTAGTTCAATTTACACGAGAAAAAATTAATCTGCAAAATAGTCAGCAGATTACAGCAGAATGGAAGAATTAAAAGCTATCATGATTCAAATGTTGGCGCTACAAATGCAACAACAAGAACAACAGTTGCAGCAACAAAAACAAGAACAACAATTGCAGCAACAAAGGCAACAACATGAACAGCAATTACAATTGCAACAACAACAGAAGTTTTTTTGAGTTGTTTATTAAAACGATGGAAGGAAAAACTTCAGATTTATTCACTCCAGATGTTGCTAATTCAATCAGCGAATTTCTGTACAATCCAGATGAATGGATAACTTTTTCCAGCTTATTATAGAAGATACGAAAGATCTTCAACATGGATTGTTTGTAATGGCAAATATATGGGAATTAGCGTGGCGTCTTAGTGATCACTATTTCTACACTATCCTCTACTACTATACAGATCGCTATTCTCTACACTATTCACTATAATATTTCTCTATACTGATCACTATACGGATTACTATTCAGTGGTTACTATTCGAGTGAGTATTATCGAGTAAGTGCAAACAGTGCGAGTGATACTCGAAGGCGCCTGACAGCAGTATTGTTCACGATTGTATTACTATAGATGTATCTGCGATTACAATGTCTCTACTACAACGAGCATTACGAAAGTGACAACTTTCTATTATAACCTCTTTTGTAGGATTAGTGTTATAACACCCACTCCTACTTGATATAACGAAATTCCTTAAGTATACGTAATGCTTAGGCTATTGCCGTGACGCCTGTAGAGCTAATATGAATACGACTGGTATCTACTCAGTTCCCGGAATGAGATGAGTTGTAACACAAGCTCAGGATTATTGTGGGGAACCTGAGCGTTTTCACCCGGGCCATTGGTTAAAATTTACCCAGCCCCCGTTAAAGCGGGTATGGGTGCATTACTTGTCTGTTTTTTTTTCTCAGCCGAATCTCTATCCGAAGAAAGAGCTCTAACTGAGTCAGCCTTCACTCGAAGACGGATGTCTTATCAGCCTCTGCCCGAAGGACTGAGAGCGATTGGACTTTCATTTATCCAAATCACCCACAAGGCAATATATGGCACAAGGCTGTTTTTTATGTGGAGTGATTCCGTAGGCTCGGGTAAAAATCCCTCTTAGACCCTGCATACAGCGGGATCAGGTTTGTCGCCTCCCCAGACGAGATTCTGCCCGTAGGCATAGCCTTGTCTGGGTTCCCCTTTGCCCGAAGGCAGAGAGCCCGACAGTGAGAACTGCCTGACTGTTTTTACCAATGTTCCCACGAGGCAGGACGTGGCACAAGGCAAATTTTTATCTGGTGCGAATCAAAACCTCTAGGCTTTGATTCGGCAAAAATTTCCCGTAG